CATGGAATGGAGCCAGTTTGCAATGAAATGGCCAATTTGAAATGAAATGGAGCCAGTCTGGGGTAACTGGGGGTGTAAGCCAAGTACATAGACGACAGTCCATTTGGATGACTTAGTAAACCAGAGCTATGAAACATTATAAGTGGTATGACGTGTCCAGTGTTGCTTTCTTGCTTGGCTGTGACGAATTCAGAGCCAACAAATGCCCCACAGAATTACGACCGAGTTTGTGAGCGGAGTAGAAAAACTCGGTCGTATTTTTTTTCCTTCTACAATGCCCGAGAAAGGATTCTAGGTGTATGTTGCAGACCATGGGGCCAGTTGACTATGGCCACTAACCAGATAACTCCTTTGTATCCATGTATGTTTGTAAATATGTCTGTCTGTCTGTCTGTCTGCCTGTCTGTCTGTATGTATGTATGTATGTATGAATGTGAATGTGTATGAATGTAATGTTATGAATGTGATGTAATGTTATGTCACATTAAGTCGTGTAATGTTATGTTATGTTACATCATGTATGTCTGTATGTATGTATGTATGTATGTATGTATGTATGTATGTAATGTAATGTTTTTTCACACTAAGTCATATAATGTTATGTTATGTTACATCATGTATGTCTGTATGTATGTATGTATGTGCGTATCTGCGTATGTGTGTATGTGTGTATGTCTGTATGTATGTATGTATGTATGTATGTATGTATGTATGTGTATGTATGTATGTATGTATGTATGTATGTATGTATGTATGTATGTATGTATGTATGTATGTATGTATGTATGTATGTATGTATGTATGTATGTATGTATGTATGTATGTATGTATGTATGTATGTATGTATGTATGTATGTATGATGCATGCATGCATATATGATGTATGTATGTATGATAGATATATAGATAGAGAGATAGATAGATAGATAGATAGATAGATAGATAGATAGATAGATAGATAATAGATATATATATATAGATAGATGGATAGATAGATAGATAGAGAGATAGACGGATATAGATAGATAGATAGATAGATAGATAATAGATAGATACAAATAGATGGATAGATAGATAGACAGATAGAAGCATCGATCGATAAATAGATAGATCGATAGCTAAATAGATCGATAAAAAGATAGATAGATAGATAGATAGATAGATCGATAGGTAGATAGATAGATACATAGAAGGATAGATTGATAAATAGATACATAGATAGACAACTAAATAGATAGATACATGGATAGATAAATGGATAAGGAGGTAAGTACATAGTCAGAGAAAAAGAAAGAAAGAGATGCGGACCAGGGGGGAATCGAATGGGGGGGGGCCCCCCCCCCCTAAGTCTCCGTTCGTGACTCTCGGCTCTCAATTTCCGGGAAAGGACCACCCACCTCCCCCAGTACTAAACTAGTACTGGCTTTTGACTTGCTGGCCCCAAGTACGTCCATGTCAGCTATGTTGGGCCTACATATCTTGGAATCATCTTGCAAGGGCCTGGTCCAGGCCTGGGTGCCTGCCTGTTCTTATGCCCGCCGGGCGTAAGCGCAGGCGGGGCTTTGGCAGCGCAAGTTTGGCAGGGTAAAGGCTGTTTTTTTCATCATTTTAGGCCCAAAACCTGTTCGATGAAGGGCCTGCCTGTTCTTATGCCCGGCGGGCATAAGCGCAGGCGGGTGAAAAGGAGACATTTCATCCACAGGGTTGTTTTGCCGTGGATTCCCATGAGAAAGGGAAATTTCATCCATGGAATGGAGCCAGTTTGCAATGAAATGGCCAATTTGAAATGAAATGGAGCCAGTCTGGGGTAACTGGGGGTGTAAGCCAAGTACATAGACGACAGTCCATTTGGATGACTTAGTAAACCAGAGCTATGAAACATTATAAGTGGTATGACGTGTCCAGTGTTGCTTTCTTGCTTGGCTGTGACGAATTCAGAGCCAACAAATGCCCCACAGAATTACGACCGAGTTTGTGAGCGGAGTAGAAAAACTCGGTCGTATTTTTTTTTTCCTTCTACAATGCCCGAGAAAGGATTCTAGGTGTATGTTGCAGACCATGGGGCCAGTTGACTATGGCCACTAACCAGATAACTCCTTTGTATCCATGTATGTTTGTAAATATGTCTGTCTGTCTGTCTGTATGTATGTATGTATGTACGTATGTATGAATGTAATGTTATGTAATGTGATGTAATGTTATGTCACATTAAGTCGTGTAATGTTATGTTATGTTACATCATGTATGTCTGTATGTCTGTATGTATGTATGTATGTGATGTAATGTTTTTTTCACACTAAGTCATATAATGTTATGTTATGTTACATCATGTATGTCTGTATGTATGTATGTATGTATGTATGTATGTGCGTATCTGCGTATGTGTGTATGTGTGTGTGTATGTATGTATGTATGTATGTATGTATGTATGTGCGTATGTCTGTGTGTATGTATGTATGTGTGTGTATGTATGTATGTATGTATGTATGTATGTATGTATGTATGTATGTATGTATGTATGTATGTATGTATGTATGTATGTATGTCATGTATGTATGTATGTATGTCATGATATATAGATAGAGAGATAGATAAATAGATAAATAGATATATATATATAGATAGATGGATAGATAGATAGATAGATAGAGAGATAGAAGGATATAGATAGATAGATAGATAGATAAATAAATCAACAAATAGATGGATAGATAGATAGATAGACCGATAGAAGCATCGATCGATAAATAGATAGATCGATAGCTAAATAGATCGATAAAAAGATAGATAGATAGATAGATAGATAGATAGATCGATAGGTAGATAGATAGATACATAGAAGGATAGATAGATAAATAGATACATAGATAGACAACTAAATAGATAGATACATGGATAGATAGATGGATAAGGAGGTAAGTACATAGTCAGAGAAAAAGAAAGAAAGAGATGCGGACCAGGGGGGAATCGAATGGGGGGGGGGGCCCCCCCCCCCTAAGTCTCCGTTCGTGACTCTCGGCTCTCAATTTCCGGGAAAGGAGCACCCACCTCCCCCAGTACTAAACTAGTACTAAAGTACATAGAACTCAGGTAGCCTAGGCTACCTTTCGTGATCTGAAAAGGAAACAAGCAGCTGGACAACAGATTCTCTCTAAGATTGCTTCGGACTTGGGATTCATCCCGTTAAAGAATATATAAAGAGGACTAAAAATGGCTAAAACTCTCAAACGTTTAGGGCAGGTCATAAAGGACATGGCTCTGGAAAGGTGGTTGCAGGAGAAAGGGCAGCGTTTGTTTTCATGTCGTGTCAACCGACATCGCTTTGTCAAGAAAGCACGGAAGTTGCGGCTACTGTGGTAGCCTGTGCAAGAGTCAGGCGTTGATCCAAGCAAGTGGATAAACAAGATTTATTGCATCAAACTAGATCTAGGCAGGAGAGGTTCCAGTCGCAGAAGTTCTGCTTCGGATGGCATGAATGCAGGTAGTTGTTGGCAGGCCAATGGCTGTCAAGTAATGCAAGAAACGGTCACACGTTCACTTGCGGCGACCAAAGAGGGTTCACTTGCACTGGGCGTTAACCGAAGGTCAGGGACAAAGGGCAGTTTTTGTTTGTGTTTGAAGGGGAAGTCAGGGAAAAGGGGGTCAAAGATAAGGGCAGGCCAACTTTTTACTCCACCACAATTCAGGGCCTTGGGAAGGGATTGGCAGGCAGAGGTTGGCAAGCAGGGGTAGTGACAGGATCCGGCTAAGGGGGTTCAGAGCATAATTGCAGCGTTCCACTTTGTGTATATTGATTGCCTCAGCATGATTCCCAGGATGCGGTCTGCCTGATCCAACTATTCATTTGTTTGACATGCAAATTTGAGGTGCCTTGAATGCATCACCCCTTGTTGAATCATTAGTCCGGCAAGAAACAAACAGTGGTGGACCCACGTTCACGTCTCCAAAAAAAAATGTCAAGCGGAAGTTCTCAAGCGCAAACAAGGAGCCAACTGCGAAGACGATTTCTCGGGCAGTTCTTTCCATGCCATTGCCATTTTCTATGTGTGTCTTTTCTGGGTTTCGCACCCTCTTTTCCTCCTCTCCTGTCTTCTTTTTTTCTCCCCTTCCCTTGCCATGTTCCATCCTTCCTGGCTCACTTCCTTGTTTGCTTGCTTGATTGATTGATCGTTCGTTCGTTTTTCACTTGTTTACTTGTTTCATTGTGCCTTTGCCTGACTTTGGCCATTGCTATACTAGTGGTCTGATATTTTCCATATTTCTCCCTTTGTTCTGATTTTGGCTTTGTTGGTTCCTACTCCTACCCCAAAAAAAGTAAAGTTGTCCAAAACCTCAGTGTTTTTGACATGTTGTTTGGCACCAGATCATATTTGTGTGACGTGACATCCAAGTGCATATTTAATATGTGGCCTTCCATTGTTCATGACTATGGTTCCTGTCGCATGTGATCGATTCATGGGTACGGAAAATTGCCAAGGCTCACCATAAATATGTTTTTGTTTCGCAACGAGGCACACGCCACTGCTGCATGCCACATTCATGAACATAGTTTTTTTTTTAGGATGGCGCTTCTGCTGCGTGACATGGACGGATGACTCCAGTCCAGTCTTAGGATGGTTTTTTCTGCTGGTTGACATCAATGGGTGAATATGGTCCGAAACTATATCCGAGGTTCTGTCGCCGCCACCAACCAATACAAACAGTAACTCTGGGATGTTATTGGGGCAGCGTTTGCCTGACACAAATTTGGGGCGGGGTTGTGTTGCTCGCCAGCTACTCATCACTACAGCCTATAGCTGGTTGGTTGACTGGAACATATGATATGAATGACCACGGTGAAAGATTGCTGTTCTGCTTCTCACGTGTCACATCAATGGTATTTATCAATTTCCCGGTGTTGCAGCGGAGGTACCTGACAGCCAAAGTTGCACAAAACGTCTCCAGAGTACACAAGCCCTGCACTTGTATGCACTTGTATGGAACCATTGAAGCCAAGCAACGGGGATGAGAGACACCACCAAAAGAAATCCGAAAGCAAACCTCAAAAGCAATGACAATTTATGACATCTCAATTTTTTCCGCCGTCACACTGGGAAATAATTTGTTCCGCCCTTGGCCCTTGGAAAATTCACAAGAGCACTTCCGAGCCTTTACCGGTTTGTGCAAACATGCTGAGCCGACCACTGGGCAAATAGTCCGGCAAAACCCACCATGGCAAATTGAGATTTCGTAGGTGTGTAATTCTGAATAGATTTCCATTTTTGGTGCCTGTGACAAACACCACAATGTTGAAAAATATGTGGTTTTTGCGCCATCGGTTTCGCTACTCTGCTTGCAGGCAGCCACAAATGGAAATGTTTGCCGACCTGTCATGCATGCTTGCAAAATAACAGATTGCAAAATACTTGCAGCTCCAAAACGCAATCCAACTGTCACTGAAAACAAACACGGCCAAACTCGTGGATATGGAACAATCCGTTATGCCAACATCTGTGCTGGTTGGACAACCCTGGGATAGAGTGCACATAATTTATGTCAGCCAGCGACATTATTTGATTTTTCTGCCGTCCGCCGCGGTTCGTGGCTGCTTCCCCCGCTCATGACCTGATCCTATCGAATGATGCCGAAGAACTAATATGTATGTTTCCGCGACCCCAAACCTTCCGTCCGAATGCCAATATGCAAAGGAGCTTGAATAACACCCCACCCCAATCCAAACCCTAACCCCAAACCCGGCCCCACCCCATCATGTTGGAGGGCGTTTACAAGGCGGTAAAGGGCTCAGCCACCCACGCGGAACAAACTCAGCCACATGCAAACGCTAATTTCACCCATGCACACTAAACCAACTCACACGCGCACACGAAACCAGCTCACACGCACACAGACCCAACCGACACTTGTACACAAATTTGACTCACCTCTGCACACTGTTTCAAATCACACATACACGGTATACATCAGTCTCCGCTACGCACACGCCTCCTCTAACTCAAGAAATATAGAACGATGCAGCTATGAGACCTTTCGGGTTTATTTGCTTTACCAAGTCACTACACAAGTACGACACATTCCCCTTACCAAGCAAATATACACGTATGAGAGTTTTAATTAGTTTCTCTATTTTACCAAATCACGACACAAGTACGATACCCTTAGGATTAATTTAGTTCACAAAATAAATTCACAGGCACAAGTCCTTCATATAAGGTGTCTTTGCTTTACCAAGTAAATGCACAAGTAAGAAGTCTTTAGGGTTTTTTTCGCTTTGCCGAATCCGCACACAAGGATGACGAATTAGGTTTTTTTCCTGCACCAAATAAATGCACAGGTAGGACACCTTACAAATTCATGTAGTTTACCAACTAGTTACACAGGTACTGCACATTAATGGCAAGGGTACACATGTGTCCACACATTAAAAGTTTTTTGTTTGACAAAGTACAACGTCTTTAGGGTTTATTTGCTGCACCAAGTAAATACACGGGTGCCACACTTCCACCAAGTACATCTTGTAGATATACAGCTACGACACCTTCATACACCTTCTGGGTTTCTTTGTCTTACCAAGTACATGCGCCAGCAAGAGACTTTTACATGTTTTTGTTTCACCAAATAAATACACCGGTCAGACACCTTGAATTGTTTTTGGTTTTACCAGGTGAATACATAGTTACGAATCTCACAATTTTTTGTTTTAAACAAGTAAGCACATAAGGACAGCGCCTGCAGGGTCTTTTTAACCAAATAAATACGACATGCACGACACCTTTATAGGTCCGTCACCTTTGCATTTTTGGTCCCTTACCAAGGGAATTCACAGATGCCAGACCCTCAAGGTTTGTTCTATACCAAATAGGCACGCAGGCGCGACGGAGGCGCAAAAGAAAATGCTCGAGCATAGTCCCGGTAGTGCCACACAAACTGAAAGGTGGTTGGAATTGTGTTTTTCAGAGTGGTTACAATGGTTGCAGTGGTCACCTGGTCGGTCACCTCACCCACAACTGCTGGATGTAGCGTGGTGTAGCCAAGCTGTAGCTGTAATTGTAGTGTAGTGGAGTTGTAGCTGTGGTGTAATGTAGTTAGTGTAGCGCAGTTGCAGTTGCATTTGTGGTGGTGTACTGAATGTAGTGTAATGTAATGTAGGGTAGTGTTGTGTAGTGTAATCTAGTATAGCGTACAGTGTCGCAGTTGTAGTTGTAGCTGTAGTTGTAGTTAGTGTGGTGTAGTGTAGTTTCACATGACCTGGTAATTGAACCTTTGGCCTCTTGATAATCACCTTTGCCTTAGCCTTTGGTAAAGCATCAGAATCAGTTGAGATCTGTCTCTGCTTCCTTTGAACTCTGATAGGCTCTGACGTCGGATCAGGTCCTGGTGGAGAATTGTCAGCTTGTCCAGGATCAGCAATCTCTTCAATTGGAATGTCAGGATTGGAAAACGGAGTTGATGGTGAACTTGGTTGATGTGTTTCCCCCGAGTCCTGAATTCCTGGCATATCCGAGTCATCATCAGGTGGTGGTCCATGATCATCTGGAATGATGTACTCTTGACCATCATCATCATCATCATCTGGATCTGTTCCATTGTTATAATCAGGTTGATTATCATCATCCAAAGAGTCTTCTGGTTCATCACCACTCAACATTTCATCATCAACATCTCCTTGCTGATCTGGATGGAATGGATCGTCATCATTTGGTGGTGTGCTTCCTTGAGTAGGAGGATCTTCACTCTCCTTTTTATAGCACCAGTCATTTCACGTGAAAAGACGATCATACTCCATTCATGGATTTTGAACTGTTGAGTAAGACAGCATCTTCAGGATGTTGAAACAAAGGATTCACTCGACCATAAGTTCCTCTGAACACACTGCAATCTTCAAAGTACATTTGGGGCAACGTCTTCTTCCTGACATCTTGAAGTCTAGGATTTAATTCAATGATTCTGGGGTCAGTTGATTCTCTGACACTGGCCTCTGTACTCCTTGGCAACTGATCAATCTTTCTCAATGTTTGAACGAGTAACTGAGTGGTAAACCTCTGTGGAAGTATGCGCTTCAATGGCACTGGAATAGAGGTCTCAGCATGATGCAAGTCTTGCAACAAACATGAGCACTCAGCACCACGATGCAAAAACATAGCTGTGCCACACAATGCTCCATCATCAAAATGATCCAACAGATCTTCAAACAGAAAGTACTGTCTCATGTCCCTCAAAGGTACAAGTTGCGTGAACTGTGCAATGAATCAAATGTGATGGTAAGAACTTCCATTGTGGATCATTTCAGAGCTTCCCTTCTCTCTTGAAGGCATGCTGTGGTTCCAACATATCAAAGTCTTCATCATGATTGTAATACACACGCAAGTTTTTGATTGAAGGATCACAATGACAGTAATTAGTCATATCAAGGTGGAAACAACCGATGTGGTAAAGGATTCTGTCCTTCTCAAATTTCTTCCAAGTCAAGAACTGAGCAAATCCTGAATCAGGCAGAGTGATCACCAAGAAACCTTTTCCTCGGTCAACCTGCCACTTCATCACATCAAGGCAGAATTTGAAAACCGAATTTCCAGGAATTTGGTGAAGGATTTGTGATCAACACGTATTCAGGATCAAGCTTCTCAAGCTGTTTCCAAACTTGATATTGTTTGGTCTTACTGTTGAAACTCCAACCATGCTTGTGGTCAATGGGTTCACCAACCTTCATGTTCAATCGTGACATGTCCCAACTAAGACCAGTGTTGCTACTAAAGAGTTCAACAACATCACACTTGCCAGTTTGACAGAACCAATGAGCTTGTTCACCAAGGTAAGCTTCAGCATACTCAGCTATGTCTGGCTCATAGTCATCTTCATCTTCAACTGCAAGTGGAACAGGCTCTGGATTGTCAAGTCCAGGAACAGCAACATCATGCCATTCATCATGATCACGCCTGATCTTCGATTGGTTGACACGCATGACTGCATCATCAACATGAACATTGACCATAGCACCTTCTTGAGAGATGACAGTACCTCTGATCCACCTTTCCTTCTTCCATGCCTTTGAAGCAATAGCATTGGCATTGACAGGAGAACTCCAAACGAAAACCTTGTCACCTGGTTTGTAGGGTCCATCTGATGGCATTGTTCGTTTGGCCATGTCCTCCAGGTTGGGGCTGCTGAGCGTGCTGCTATTGTTTGCGGTATGTGGCAACTGTGTGTTAACTTCTGCTCCCCGTGCCTGTCTTTGCCATTTCTGCCGTGACAACACCGCAATGGTGGATGACAATGCCACCAAGCTGCAACACCTGTAAAACACATGACTTTTCATGTAAGATGCATTTTGCACAGTATCTACATCCCTGAGTATCACATTACCTATTTGCTCTTGAAAACTGACAGCGTTACATGTGAGAAGAGGTGCTTTCATTCTGCTTTGGGGGGAGGCGCTGCGCCCTTGTTTTTGTTTCGACCTAATACCTATGCGGGTACATGCATGAGTATTGAGCACATTTATATGCGCCCTTCAAGGCTCAAGAGGTATATAGAGTAACCCTGTGGACACCGCACGGACTGGCAATACGCCGAGAGCAAAAAGCGTGTGAGCTGTCTTGGGAAGACGCCTTAGCTGATCTTGAATAGACGCTAGGGCCCCTCTTCAAGTGGTAGCGGAGCAGTGATCCTTCATTGAAGGTGAGCTCCAGGTAGAGCCCAATAATGGCACGCCATTGATGATGATGACTTCGACATTGTCGATGCAGATGGGTGGAACCAATATGACTCTTACGCAATGAGAAGAGCCCCCCAGCAGACACAGATTCACATGACGCAGCAGCCAGCTTCTTTGCCTTTGAAGATGCAATCGATGACTGGTGTGACATCACGGAGTTAGAACCTGAAAAACGTGGCCCAGATTTGCGCAATCGTCTGGAAGGAGAGGCTCAGCAATACAAGAGGTTATTGGATAGAGAAAGGCTCAGGGATCCCCCTTGACGGAGTGAACTATTTCAAAAGGTTTCTACCACCCCATTTCATCAAAGGTGCCCAGAACATGTTCTTATACCGTTTCATGCAGTTCATGAAGTTCAACAGAGGAACTATGGATCTTCAGAAGTGGATGACTAGATTTCAACTGACTGGAAACAGACTTATTGAGTCTTGGATGGATTTACGACCAGAAGCGTTGATTACTAGCCCAGAAGCACATCTGTTTATCCAACGACAACGACAAGAGCATGAAGCA